GTCTTTGTACTGAATTGCGCTATTCAAATAAATTTGCCTTGCCTTGCCTTGTCTGAACGCACCATTATTGTAATAAGTATTACTCCACATTGCAGTGTATATTATTTTGAGAAAAATAAAAGTGCTTAAAAATATCCTCTTTGAATAGCATCAATTTAACCCAACAGTTACCTCGATTATGGTGTTGCAGAACTAGCCACACCCATCGCGGGCTAGTCAGCCAAATGGAACTTATTCTCACAATCTGAACAAGAACGTTACTGTGGCTAAGTTGTTCAATGCTTAATTAATACACAAATAATTCAGATTAATCAAAATGTTTTGTGAATGGTAAATGACCTGTACTTATATAGCGCATTTTCAAGTTAGGAGACTTGACCAAAGCGCTTTACACTACATTCAGTCATTTACCCATTCACACACACACTAATGGTGGCAAACTACATTGTAGCCACAGCTGCCCTGGGCCTCACTGACAGAAGCGAGGCTGCCGTACACTGACACCACCGGGCCCTCAATCAAAATAAAAATGTTTGATTTAAATGTTGTCAAAAACAATAAAATCTCGACACCAACTCGACTCATTTGAGTCTTATCTACTTAGTCTGATTAATTACTTTCAACATTCCAGTTGAGCTATAGCTTCTGGAAACATGGAGGTATACATGGCCCGACAAAAGTATTCATAGCCTCTGAACAGAAGAGTCAGCCGATAATTAAGAGCTTTATAGCCTACATAAAAAATAAAAAAAACACACAATGTGTGGTGCAAAGCTGTTATTGCACATTACACTGCATGGTGCAATGCAGTGGAGTAATCACCATGCAGTTCACATAGGAGGGATAGTGTAGATGTAATCTTAATCCTTTTATTGTCCCAAAATGGGAAAATTCTCTCTCTTTAGTCATTTAACCCATTCCCGTGGGAAGCAATGGGCTGTCGTTGTGTGGCTCCCGGGGAGCAGTGTGGGGTAAAGGGTCTTGCTCAGGGACCCAGAGGCTGTGGGGATTGAACATTGTACTTGCAACCTTCTCAGAGCACAAGCGCACTGATCTAACCCACTAGGCCAACATTCCCTAGATAGTTGGAGTTTATTAGATGGGAGAAATTAAAGGTGCATGCAACAAACTTGTGCTTGAATGGTCTAGACAAAGTCCAGACCAAATCCTGTGATGTCTGTAGTATAATCTAAAGGGGCTTTTCTGCACTTTATATGATCAAGCTTCTCCAATTTTTTAGATGAACGGAAAGCATTTCAGTCTGTAGATGTGTAAGTTGGTAGAGATGCACTCTACAAACACAGATTTGTGTGAATGGGGTGAAACAAAATTTTGCATTCTCTAATTAACATATCACCCTGTATGGACAGAGTCAGATTTTTATGATTTAGTTGTTAAATTGTTTCACAGACACTTTTCCCTTTCATCCAACAATAATGTGCAATTTAATGCAGCTATATTTATAAAAACACAGTTAAATATATTAAGGTTGGCAGAATAAGTTATTTAACCAAATGTATAAAAGTTTAAGGTGTATAAATACTTTTGCAAGACACTGTTTACAGTTCCAACAGAGGTTCAGGATGACTTTTAGAGGAAATTCACTTACAGCTTTGTGGATGAACTTGAGGAAGAGGTGACACTGGCCGCGGTCAGGATACGTCTCCGTTCTGGGCTCCAAATTGTACCAGTTGTCCTCAGTGCAGTGGAGGTCCTGTCATTTTGTAAAATAGTTGGGTTTTAGACTAGACAGAACAGATATTTAGGCTAAAACAATAGGGAAATTGTGGGATTTCTTGCCACCTGTAGCCTTAAGACAATATTTCCTAAAAAGTCATCCGTGCCTTTCTCCTTTTTGGCCTCCTTGATCATCCTAAGCAGGGAATCAATCAGAAAAGCAGGAACATTCATCAGTTTAGTTATTTAAGCCATTAGATAAGATAGAAAGGAAGCTGGATACCTTCTTAAACTATTAAAGTTAGTTTTAATATCCTCCAGTTTCTGGGTGAGAGACACCTCCTCATCTTTGTCCCTGCAGCGGAAGAACAGAAAGTGAACCTTAAATAAAAGCAGCCAAAGTGAAGCTTTCTGTGCTTTTCTTACCACATTTCGAGGTGAAAACTAGCCCTTGTCAGATCTCCAAACTCTCTAAGAAGGTAACAAGAAAGATTAGTTAAAAAATATCTTAAAAGCCTCTTTAGAAGCTTGTCACAGATTCTAACTCACAGTACGAAGGTTTGGTTCCAAATGGGGTTTAAGGTCTGCTTTTTAATATCGGTTTGGTAGATTTTCTCGTGGGATACGGTGCCCTTCATCACATATTTGCTGGGTTTGGCTTTTGAATGGCTGCTTTTTTTCTCCTCCTCCTCTTCCAGTACCATCAGGAGGCAGTAAGGATCACTAAAACCTAAAAAAATAAAAAACAAACAAACAGTCAAATCTATTCTTTTAAATTGGCAAAATATTCACTAGTTAACCATCAAAACTACCTTTCTTTCCAAATTCAAATTTGATAAATGGTATTTAGCATCTGAGGAAACTACAGTGTCGTCAAAACATATGATGAACAAAGCTTTTCATTAGTTAATGCTTTTAACTTAGTATTTATGTTATCCATGTTTCTACAAGAGAACACAGAGGGCTTTCTACTATTATGTTAATCTAGAAGCTTCCAACATCAGATGGACTATAAACTCAGCAGCAATTTTACCATGCTACCTGTTCAATTACTTGTTAATGAAATTTGCTAACTGGCCAATGGCACCACAACAATCCAGTTAATTTAGGCAAATATCCATTGGAGGACACACATGTGGACAAAACAACTTGAAAAGGGTTTAGAAAATTACTTGTTACAACTAAGACACATAAAAGGGACATAGAAACACTGATCCATGAATACGTTCCATGTTAAAAAAGGTAGTAGTAAACCAGCTCCATAGGTGGCTAAGGAAAGGAAAAGTTAAGCAGATGAGCTATGATCCAGTTTTCATGTCAACATGATGAAAGAGAGTAAATCCAGTTAGTCACAGTAAAAGCTGGGCCCTAAGGTATGTCTAGGTGAGAATCAGGACTAAACACTGAAAAACATGCCCAACTATATGAATAATAATGGAAGTTATTGATGGCAGTAGTCAACTGATGTCTCTAAACAGAACACCAGTCCAGATGAAGCTACTTTGACAAGAACAAGTACAGAGAACATAAAATTTGATTTTGAACTAACAAATACTGCAGAAAAAGGGAACAAAGATTTAAGCAGAATGATGAAAATACAGTATGTTCCTTTTTCCTCCATCAGCCTATAGCAGCATAAGTATAGAGATGGTTCAGGATAAACTGACATAGTCTAACTTTAAGCTTAATGAAATATTAAAAAATTCAGTCATGTTACAAAAGCAGACAGAGTGCCTAACGCAGTGACTAACACTGGTAGCTGGTTCCACAGGAGAGAAGCCTGATAACTGAAAGATCTGCCTCCCATTTTACCGTTTGAAATTCTAGACACCACTAGTAAACCTGCAGACTGAGAGTGAAGGGCTGTGTTAGGTAAACGGTAAATGGCCTGTACTTGTATAGCGCTTTTTCAACTCAGAGGATTTGACCAAAACGCTTTACACTACATTCAGTTATTCACCCTTTCACGCATTCACACAGACACTGATGGTGGCAAACTACACTGTAGCCACAGCTGCCCTGGGGCTCACAGACAGCAGAGATGCTGCCATACACTGGCTATACCAGTCCCTCCGACCACCATCGGTGGTTGAAGTGGTCAGAGGGATCATTCCTTATCAGGGACATAAGGAATGATCAGATCTATGATATAAGATGGAGCATGGTTATTTAGATCTAAACATGTGAGAAGGAAGATTTGAAATCTGTACTGTGTCTAAAATGAAGCTAAAATAGGAGAAATATGATCTCTCTTTTTTGCTACCATCTCTAGATTAATGTAATCCCTAAACATAGAGTAGTTAAGACCTTCTCTTAGCTAAGAGGGAGAAACTGAGGCTGGAATATTTAGACATTATGGTCCAAATTTGTTAACAACATGAAAGTAGTGATGCATATTTCTTGGTATCAATGTTTTTTGGTTATTTTTTTCTTGGCATGTTTTACCCCCTTAATAATGCCATGGCATTGCTTAAACACATGGCTAGTGTTTTAGTTAAGACAACACCAACCAAGACCAAGGAGTAATGAGACAAGGCCAAGACCTTTAAAGGTC